TTCCATTGGTTCAGGTCTTCCATTGGTTCAGGTCTTCTAGTGGTTCAGGTCTTCCAGTGGTTCAGGTCTTCCAGTGGTTCAGGTCTTTCAGTGGTTCAGGTGTTCCAGTGGTTCATATCTTCTAGTGGTTCAGGTTTTCCAGTGGTTCAGGTCTTCTAGTGATTCAGGTGTTCCAGTGGTTCAGGTCTTCCAGTGGTTCAGGTGTTCCAGTGGTTCAGGTCTACCAGTCGAAGGATCAATAATTTAATTCACCAAATCCTTTTTTCCAGTTCAGCTCATCAGTGTTGTTGTAGCTTTGGGATTAGAGTTGAATATAAATTAGTAATCTGAAGAACTATTATAAAGTGTTTGTGTTAATAGATGAAAACAAAACCTCGTTAAAGCTTTGTTTGAACAGACAGAGATTAAAAGATGCTGTACCACAACAGGCTGCTTATTTTAATGAAAAATAAACAAAGACATGTACTCTCAGCTAAAATATTGTATATATTAACTTATTCTTATCTTAAAGGCTTATTATTTGTAGAGTTCCAAACATTTCCCATAAATCTTTCAAATCGAAGTATTTTATGTAAGTTCTTTGCTTCACTACATGAGTTGATCACCGCAGATTAAATTGTAACAGAAATAAAACAAGGTCAGAAGTTTGACAGATGGGAAGTCAAGCAGCATTCTTTGACACATTTTTGTTTATGAAATAAAGAAAGCTCAGAAACGTGGGCAGGTTGGTTAAAATGTTTGTTGCTTGTAACTTGTTATTGTCTGGTTTCTGGTTTTGAGGTTACCATGATATCAGAAGGTCACAGTGTTAAAACATCAAAGTATTTCTGTCAGTGTACTCCTGTGGTTTAAGGCCAGAGGCAGTTTCTCTGGTCGTGTGGAGCTTAAAGCAGACTCTCACTGCAGGCTGTCAGTCAGCTGTGTGTGATGACCCAAGGAAGGGAAACTTTATAAAAGTGTGTTCTCATTAAAAAAATAAATAAATAAATAATGAATAAGTTGTCTCTAAAAAAAAAAAAAACCCCAGCAGATTAGGGCTTGCCTGCCAGAGGTGCTCCATCCATCACTCCTCTGATGGTGACACTTTGCAGAGGTAAACCAGGACCTCACGGAGCTGCTGACCTCTAGTTGGGGATGACATCTGTGGGGTAGTTTCCAAAATGTCTCAAAACGTCTGTGGAGTCTTATTTTCCTCGTCTGAGTTGCTGTCTGCCTGTCTCCATTTCTGAAGTGTACTCCGGTAGATCAAATCCTAAACGTAGGGCAGCTGCTGAGTTGGATACAAAGCAGGATGAGGTGGGTGTAGAATATAGTTTTTCAAACTGTGCATGCCAAAGTGGGTCATGATTTATTTTAATGGCCACACAAACTGCAGCTGCACTGCTTCTTTGCTGCAATTATTCAGAGTTCGGTGGGAATGGAACAGAAGATTTGTTGTTTTTCTTTCAGTTTTGTGGCCCACTGAGATACTGGCTTTAGCTCACGTATGTGTGGCCGACTAACCGGATTATTGACCTTTTTACAGTTACTGATGACCATGGGTAAAATCAGCACCACACCCCAAACACACTCATAGGTACTTCTGGTCAGGTCAGGTGATGAAAAAATAAGATTGCATTAAGATTGCCATTCAACTCCAGTGTTTAGGTCTTTTACACCTGCTTTTTGTTGCGTTTTATAAACAAGCATATTTATAAATTATTTGTGTTGGTATCCTGATGCATGCTCAATAATCCAGGTAGAAAAATCCAAAAAAGTTAAATCTGGTCATCTGGACATAAAAAAAAAAAACAAAGCAAAAAAATATTTTTTTTTTTTTTTTTTTGAATGTCCAGATGACCAGATTGAACTTTTTTTGGATATGGTACTTTATAGGGGCCGACCAATATATCGGTAGGGATGATATAGGCATTTGGGGACCTATCAGTATCAGTGATATTTGTCCCATTATGAAATGATGTAAACACTAGGAACGAGCCGTGTCCTTACTTTAGTGGACTAGGCCTCCGATCAAAACCTGCCTCTGAAGACCTTCATGGGACAGGAACTGTTATTTCATTGATTTGAATCCAGAAATACAAATTAGCTCATCTAGAGACTTTCTAATTGCATCCTCAAGTAATCATTTGAAAGAACACTCTCTTTTTTATATTATCATTACTATTTTACAATATCTTGATAATCAAAAGTGTGTTTAGTTCATAACATTTTTAAATGTTGAAGTGAACCACTCATTTTAAATCAACTGTGAAACAGTATTGATGATTTTTTAATCCTCATTTAAATTAGAAATCAAGTTAAATGTCTATTTTACAAAGTAATTATGCATTTTTTGATCTTCTGTCTGAAATGAGAAGAGTGATGTCGGTAAAAAGTCGGAGACAGTCAAGAAACAAGTTGTTAGAACAGGCTTACGTGTTTTTAAAACTCTCAGACAGTAAATAAGAGAACTGGCACCGGCAGTGTTTCTCACTTCGCCAAAACATTTCTCTGTCTGTTCCTAAACATTTTGCTGTTTTCTCAACTTGTAAAAACCCTTTGACGTCACTAGAACCACACCCCTGTTGGTTGCTTCAACCAATCAGGACTTCCTAAAAGTGACCAGAAGCAGAACTCTTTAAAAGTCGACACTTCCTGGAACTGTCAGTCTTTTCTGAGTCTGCTGAGTCGGCTGAGGTCTTCTGAAGTCTTCTTTAGTCTTCTGGAGTACTGTGGAGTAGTTCTGGAGTTTTTCCACTGCTGAGCGGAACTTCGGACTCAGTTTCCAGTCTGATGGAGCCATCCATCTCTGCAGGAGCCACGACGCCTCTATGTGGCTCCACCCGGCGAATGCCCTATAACTGCTGAGGAAGTTGTTCTGTAGAACGGAGTATCTCATGACTTCTGCCGAGTCACAGCCGCCCTGAGGAGACGCTGAAAGGTAGCGTGCCAGGGACCTCTTGACCGCAGAGGACCCATCCTCTGCCAAGGTAAAGAGTCGACATTAGCTTCACTACAAGTGTAGCGCGGGCGAACTGCGCTTGAAAGGAGTGTGTTGTTCTGGTCTACAGACATACATCTTCCTCCACATATTTCCTTTAAACTCCTCCATAATTTCCCATCTTTAAAACTCTTCTATCTTGCCAGTAATTAATCCAGATATCTTCAGAAATGTCTGTTGTTTTTATTAAGTAAAACGTGCCAAGTTTTATTAATCAGAACCAGACCAGTCTAATCAAGTGTACAATGTTTTGATGTTAAATTTTGATTCTGTTAATAAATGACTACATTTATTTTGATGGGTCAAAGAAAATTAACGTCTCATGTCACTGATTAAAACATCTACACGCACAGTACCTCTGTTACATATCTGAAAGTAGCTCGAAAAAGAGAGAACCCATTAATTTAAAATATGACTGTAGTGTAGCTCTGAAGCTAACCTAGCCTTTTACAACACTACATTACTGGCAAAAGGCGTAATTGTACAACAGAAGGCACATATGGACTACTGTACTTTCAAGTCATGGCCGCTCACTTTAAGTTTCACTTTCAGCACAGCTCAAACAGGGAACAACCGTGTAGCGTATTTTGCTGAGCAGTGCATGGTAAGTTTATTGGAGCTGTAAAACATAAAATCAACAATAATAAATTCTCTTCATTCCTCCAACTCGCTTGTCATTAGCTACTTACCTCTCAAATTAGCATGCTAACATTTAGCTAACCTAGTATAGGTTCAGTTTAGACTTGTAAAACTTTGTTCACAACGATAAATTCAATGCAGAGGTAAAATATATCAGTGTTGGTAACGTTACCTTTGTTGTCCTCAGTAAAATGCATTGTTTGCCTGAAATCTTTACTTTTCTGTGAAGAAAAAAAACGCTTCTGCGGTCAATCCTAATTAGGCCTTCACCATCACTGACTATTTCAACAATGAACAGGGATGAGCACTTATGTGTTTAATTTATATTTTTGTAATACACCTGATAACTTCATGGTAAATAGTGGAGGATAGGAAGACTGTTTTTATGACCAGTGCATCACTTGTAAACCTACTGTGGGAATACGTATAGCATGGCCCTGATTTGCTTAGTGTCATGGATGCTAACAGCTGCGCTAAATTAACAAGCCCCGCTCCACTCGCCGTTTACTTATATTCTTGGGGGTTGACAAAGCTCAAAAATGTTCAGCCATTATATCGGTTATCAGCATTAGCATGTCCCTCCCAATATTGGTATCAACTAGCCAAAATTTCCATATTGGTTGGGCTCTGGTATTTTAGGTTGTAAGAGCGAAAAGTTCACAACATGTGATGTTGACCGGTGTCAGAATGACTGCAGAGCAGCTCAAACATATAAATATGAACACTGGTTAGACAATGTGTTTCAAAGTACTGGAAATAAACATGAATATATCTAGACCATGATGCATCACTGAATACTGAAACCGAGCATTAGTAACTGTAGAACGATTAATGGACCCGCTGATCTCAGCCTGTCAGGTCTCCAGTATTACGAAACATTTTGTACAAAGAGCATGTTTGCTTCAAGACTGAAATTGTATTCAGATTGTATTCTAGATTTTTGTGTATGTCTCTCACTTTTGTGAACATTTTTAAAGAAAATGTCTTAAAACATGCTGCTGGTACTCTAGTTTAAATTAACATTTAGACACTTAGAGACTAGACTTATACATTCTATTTGTTTTCAAATGAAAGTAATTAGATTGAGTGTGCATTTTTGTTTTGTTTTAAC